GGGAAATTGGAAAAGGAGGTGAACCATGAGAGACTATGGACTCTGAAAAACAATTTGAGGGTTTTGAAGGGGCGGGGAGTGGGAGGTTGGGGGAACCAGGTGGTGGGTATTGGAGAGGGCACAGATTGCATGGAGCACTGGGTGTGGTGCACAAACAAAGAATACTGTTACGCTGAAAAGAAATAAAAAATTAAAAAAAAAAAAAAGAAAGAAAGAAAAGAGAAGTTACAACTGACACCAAAGAAATACAAAGGATTATAAGATCTAAGAGACTATTGTGAAAATTTATACACCAACAAACTGGACAACCTAGAAGAAATGGATAAATTCCTAGAAACATACAATCTTCCAAGACTGAATCAGGAAGAAACAGAAAATCTGAACTATGACTAACAAAACTGAAACAGTAACTTAAAAACTCCCATGGGGCGTCCTGGGTGGTACAGTGGATTAAGCTTCAAACTCTTGGTTTCCACTCAGATTGTGATCTTAGGGTCCTGAGATCAAGTCCTTGTTGTGCTCCCTGCTAAGTGGGGTCTGCCTGAGATCCTCTCTCCCTCTGCCCCTCTCACTTATGCTTGCACTCTCTCTCTCAAATAAATAAACCATTAAAAATTTATAAAAACTCCTAAGAAATAAAATTCTAGGACCAGATGAATCCTCCTAAATATTCAGAGTTGACTGATACCTTTACATCTCAAAGTATTCCAAAAAATCAAAAAGGAAGGAATGGTTATGAGGTCAGCATTAACCTGATACCAAAACCACTACAAAAACAGAAAATTACAGACCAATATTCCCAATGAACACAGGCACAAATATCTTCAACAAAATATTAGCAAACTGAATACAATACATCAAAAAGTTCATTCATCATAATCAAGTGGGATTTATACCAGGGATGCAATTACAGTTCAATATCTACAAATCAATCAGCATGATGCACCACATTAACAAAATGAAGCATAAAAATCATATAATCATCACAACAGATGCAGAAAAGTTTGGCAAAATCCAGTATCCATTCATGATAAAAGCACTTAGCTAAGTTATATAGAGGGAACATACCTCAATAAAATAAAGGCCACCCACACATGAAAACCCACAGGCAGCATCATAAAAGGTGAAAGCTTCTCCTTAAAGATCAGGAACAAGACAAAGGATGCAGACTCTCACACTTTTAATCAACAGGTTACTGGAAGTCCTAACTACAGCAATCAGACAAGAAATAAAAAGCATCCAAAGTAGTTAAGGAAGAGGTAAACTTTCACTCTTTGCAGATGATATAATATTAGGAACAGTATTAAGATGGAAAAAGTCAAAAAGTCATTAGAACTAACAAATACTTAGGTAAAATTGCAGGATACAAAATTAACATAGAGAAACCTGCTGCATTTCTGTACATTAATAAAAAGCTAGCAGAAAGTGAAATTGAGAAAACAATCCCATTTACAATTGCATCAAGAAGAATAAAATACCTAGAAATAAATTCAGCCAAACAATGAGGTGAAAAATCTTTCCTCTAAAACCAATTAAGATACTAATTAAAGAAATTGAGGATGACACTAATCAATGGAAAAAATATATATGCTCATGGACTAGAAGAACTAACATTGTTTATATTTGTTCTACCCTAAGCAATCTATAGATTCAATGCAATCTCTATCAAAATACCAACAGCATTTTCCACAGAACTAAAACAAATAATCCCAAAATTTGTATAAAACCACAAAGGACCCTGGGAAAGCCAAAGTGATCTTCAGAAAGAACAAAGCCGGAAATCTCACAATCCCAGATTTTAAACTATACTACAAAGCTATAGCAACCAAAACAGTATGTTATTGGCATGGAAATAGACACAAAGATCAATGGAACAAAAGAGTGAAACCAAAAATAGAGCCACACATTTATGGCCAATTCATCTATGACAAAAAAAGGCTAGAATATACAATGGGGAAAAGATAGTCTTCAATAAATGTTGTTGGGAAAACTGTACAGCTACACGCAAAAGAATGAAACTGGACCACTTTCTTACATCATACATAAAAATAAACCCAAAATGGATTAAAGACCTAAATTAAGGCCTGAAACCATAAAACTCTTTAAAAACAAAACACTGGTCAGTAAACACTTGGATATCTGTTTCAGCAATATTTTTTTAACTGTCTCTACAAACAAGGACAACAAAAAATAAACAACTGAGACTACCTAAAACTAAAAATACTTTTGCACAGCACAGTGCAGGGAACCATCAACAAAACAAAAAAGTCAATCTAATGACTTCTCCCATATTTGCAAATATATCTGATTAAGAAATTAATGCCCCAAATATATAAAGAACTCCTAGAACTCAATACCAAACCTGAAACAGTTGGATTTAAAAATGGGAAAGGAGCTGAACAGGTACTTCCAAAGACATACAGATGGCCAAAAGACACATGAAAAAATGCTCCACATTAGTCATTATCAGAGTAACACACAAAAAAATCACAGTGAAATTACCTCACACCTGTCAGAATGGCTAGTATCAAAAAATGTAAGAGAAGTAAGTGACAGGGAGGATGTGGAGAAAAAGGAACCCTCCTGCTGTTTGTGGGAATATAAATTGGTACAGCCAGTATGAAAAATAGTAGGGAGATTACTCAAAGAAGTAAAAATGGAACTACTATACAATTCAATTCCATTTCTGGATATTTACTAGTAGGAAAAAAAAGCACTAACTCGAAAAGATATTTGTACCCCTATTTCATTACAGCATATTTACAAGAGCCAAGATATGAAAGCAACCTACATGTCAATCAACAGATGAATGGAAAAAGATGACACACACACAATGAAATATTACTCAGACATAAAAAAGAAAAATGAAATCTTGCCATCTGTGCCAACATGGATGGACTGAGGGTGTATTATGCTAAGTGAAGTAAGTTTGACAGAAAATGAGAAATATCGTATGATTTTACTTACATGTGGAATCTAAAAGCAAAAACAGACTTATAAACACAGAGAACAAACTTATGGTTGCCAGAAGGGAGAGGAGTAGAGATGGGTCAAATAGGTGAAGGGGATTGAGAAGTACAAACTTCCAGTTATAAAATAAGTAAGTCTAAGAGATATAAAGTACAGCATAGGGAATATAGTCAATTATACTGAAATAACTCTGTAAAGTGACATATGGTGACTATACTTACCACGGTGAGCATTTTGTAATGTATAAAAATGTCAAATCACTAGGCTTGTATGACTGAAACTAATGTAATATTATGTCAACTGTACTTCAAAAACATTATTATTCAAAGCCCTAGACCAAACCAAAAAGGCCGACCTGTGACTTGTATAAGCTTTTTTTACTAATTGTTACTGAATAATTAACCAGTTCAGGTCAATGTTAAGTGACAGAAGTTACCTACTTTATGCTCAACTGTACATAAAAGAAAAAAATTAAAAACCAAAATTATACCTAGAGACAACTTTTCATGTACCTGTTGCCTTTCCAACAATTTGAAGATTTAAGTGTAATTTTCATAACATTTAAATGTAGTTCTTAAATAAGGTAAGCAGAGTTAGCAGATGAAAATATATGATATTTGGTTAAATGTGAATTCCAGTTAAACAATGAGTAATTTCGCAAGTGTAACTAAGTACCATGTAATATTGAAGAAATATTTATACTAAAAACTCTCTCCCATGTTAACCAGGGCCCAGGGTCCTTAGTTGAACAGAAGAGTTTGGAAATCCTTGTCCTTCATTCCCCTACTGGGAGAGAACCTGGTTACACAGTAACTCTATCCTTTATTCTTCCCCTTTACTCTTGCCTTTACTATGAAGTATTGTTGACATAAAAAGGCAAAATAATAATGTACTGGATATCTACAACTACTTCCTCAGCTTACAAAATATAATCTTAGAGGATCTATTTCTTCGGATACTCTACTCTTCCTTATACAAAAAAAACCATGTTGTTCTTTTTCTACTACACATGTATACATTCCTAGACAACACAGAGTAATTTCCAAATTTTATATAAATACCATATTATACTTCTACAACTCTTGGCTGAACACATATTCTGAGAATTTATAATGTTGAGGTATTATTTCTAGTTCATTCATTTTTTCTGTTGTATTTATTTCCATTTCTGGATATTTACTAGTAGAAAATTTATTAATTCTTTTCCTTATTGATAGATCTATGTCATTTCTTTTTGCAATTCTAAACAAGGTTGCTGCAAACAATCTTTCCGTATCTTCTTGTGCATTGGAGTTTCTTTAGAAAACTAATTTGCTGAATTGTTTTCCATAGTACCTAGACATACTTACACTACTAGCGGTCATAAATTTTAATAGTCACAGACATTTACTACACCATTACAGATAAACTTACCATTAGACATAAGCATATTTCTATATACTAAGAATGAGCACATCGAAAACCTAACTAAAAATAAGATATTGGGGCACCTGGGTGGCTCAGTGGGTTAAAGCCTCTGCCTCCAGCTCAGGTCATGATCCCAGGGTCCTGGGATCGAGCCCCATATCAGGCTCTCTGCTCAGTGGGGAGCCTGCTTTCTCCTCTCTGCCTGCCTCTCTGCCTACTTGTGATCTCTGTCTGTCAAATAAATAAAATCTTTAAAAAAAAAAAAAAAACAGGATATCACTTAAATATGCTATTTATAAAATATCAGTTCCACAGAAAATTAAATACTTAGGTATATATTTTAAACATATACCAAAAAACAAAATAAAACAAAAACAAAACAAAAAAATAAAAATAAAAAAATAAACATACACAAAACCTGTATGGTAAAAATTATAAAATGATAATTAAACAAATCAAAGAAAAACTAAATAAAAGGAGAAATGTACCCTATTCTAGACTGGAAGATTCAATGTAGTAATCATGTTAATTCTCCCAAAATTTATCTGTAAGTTTAATCAATTCCCATCAAAATACAATTACCTGGTGAAATAAAATGAGTATAAAAATAAGAAAATACAAACCAATAGCATGTGTAATGACCGCAGGTTTTTGTTGACATTGAAATGCTTTTGTAGTACTTCTCGCACACTTCTATCTTCTGTGAGACCCTAGAGAGAGGAGAAAAAAAAATCAAAATAGGTTAAGTAACGTGGCAGTTTAAAACCTAACTATAATGTGCCTCACTAGTTGGTGTACCTCATTAACTCTGGTATTTATTCATTATTAAATAGGTGTTGGTTTTATTTGTAGAAACAAAAATCAAAACGAAACTTCCAGTCTATTGTTTTCTTATCCCTTTATGTTAATTAAATATACACAGAAACAAAACACAATACCTGCTACCCGAACTTTCTGGTCTAAAAAAGGCAAACCATATAGTTATACCAGTGGGATGATCATAATGCAGCACAAAACACAACAGAGAGTAAGAGTTACCATGTTTGGAAACACAAGGTAAAGCAATACAAAGAATGCTTAAATTATATGAGTCATTAAGCTAAAAAGAAAGTGCGTTCCAGTTATAGGGAACAGTATGAGCAATGCAGGAAGATCATGGCATACTAACAGAAAATGAGTAGTCATGTAACCCTGAGTTTCAGTTATTGGTGAAGTGATTTCATGGAAAGACAATGACAGAAAAACCTAATTGTAGGCCATTGCAACTGTCCATACAAGAGACAAAAAGGGTCTGAGTTAAAATAGTGCGAACAGAGAATTAAGACATTTATAGAAGACATGGTCTGAAGGAGAGTCAAATGGTGTTGTGTGGAGAAGCAAGGGCTTGAGAAAGTGAAGAAAAAAATCAGAAATAATATTCTGGAGACAGAACATTCCAGGAGGAATGAAGAATGAAATGTGGTCAAGAAGTGAAACTTGTTTATTAATATTAAAGAACAAAATAGAAAAAGAGCAAAGAGACTGAGAAAGGTACTGAAGACTGGAAGAGAATCCAAGAGAGGGCAATTAAACCAAGGGAAGAAAATTTCAGAAGGAAGTAATGATCAACAATGTAAATTACTTAGTATAATTAAACAAATATATTTGAGAAGAACTAATCACATTGTAAATTCGGAGAATAAGGTCCTTTGAAAAAGCAGTTGTGACTGCAGTGAATCACAATTAATAAAAAATAAGGTACACTTGGTATTGTAGAAAAAATTAGATGTACAGAGAGTAAATTCATAGCTGGCAGAGCCAAAAACAGAGTAGGGAAGACTGACATAAATTTTCAAAAATCATCTGTAACAAATGAGGATACTTTTTCTTAGAACAAACAAAAAACCCTGAAAATCTTATTTTCTAGAGGTAAAACTATTATATTTCTACTTCCACTGCAGGAAGATCCAGATTCAGGAATAAGTTCTAGTCTAATGAAATAAAGTTTTATGCTTTCAGTAAATACATTATCCTAGTTATAGTACTCATTCCCTTGTCATTATTTTCAGTATTCTCTCTGAACTTAACAGCATTTGCTTGCTGTTACTATATATATCTTTTTCTTTTCTTTTTTTTCTTTTTTTTTTTTTTTGAGAGAGAGAGAGAGATCACAAGTAGGCAGAGAAGCAGGCTTCCTGCTGAGCAGAAAGCCAGATGCGGGGCTCGATCCCAGGACTCTGGGATCATGACCTGACCTGAAGGCAGAGGCTTAACCCACTGAGCCACCCAGGTGCCCTTATACATATCTTTTTATCATAAAAGGATCAGATATTCTCTGAGAGTACACAAGATGAACACAAAATAATAAAGCAAAGTAGTACACATAAAAAACTTTTGGGAATTAATTGCAGTTTTATTAAAACTATAAAAAAAATTACCTGGAACAAAAATATTGGTAGAAGAAATTTTCTAAGAATCAATTATTTTTAATAACAGTTAACTGCTTTTCTTCTATATGATGCTTCAAAAGGCTAACCTATATTCTGCTTGCGTTCTTATATTTTTAGAGGTCTGAATCCAACTCCCCATCTTTCTTAAAGCTATCACCTTCTTGCTTCCATAATTACTTAATGTGCTTTAAAAAAAAAAAGTCTAAAAGATCTATATATGTGAGTCATTAAAAAAAACAACAACAAACCTTATTTGACTTTCACCTTGATTCCAACACTATAAACTACTTGGAGATAAGGCTATTATACGATAGTCATTGAACATATTAGATCTTGGGTTTTGAAACACGACTAAATTTCTCATTTTTCTGGATTGAAAGCTCTCTTATAGCTGGCTCAGGAAATGACACAAGAGAAATAAAGACAGAGAATGACTGACTGACATCAGCCTTATAGGAACATGGGGAAATTCCCAGAAAAAAAAAAACAGATCTCTCCTGTTATTCAAGGAAGCTGAAATACTAACTTTTCACTGATGAACACATGAGTAGAAGTTGCAGAAGCAAGTTCTTATTGTACCGATGTTACAGTTTGCCTGTCTGGTGCCCTCTCCACAGGCAGATTCTAAGCAGAATGTAACACAGTTTCACTAGTATCTCAGAACTCATGATGCTCCAGGGATAACTCAGTGGCAGCAGGATATGTACTAAACCTCCTAGTCAGTTCTTCTCACCTTCTGTTAACTAAACAGGGAAGATTATGACAGTAGGTAAATGTTCCTTGAACTTAGCTATAGTACTTTGAGGGAATTTCCTTTGAGAAGAATTAGTTATGATCCTTTAAAATGTTCTTTCATACAGGGATTTCTCCTTATACTGTCATGCTGAAATGGTGTTTACTTTGCTTAACTAATTTGTACCGCTAAAACATTCAAGTTAGATGGTATGTCTAGGTTCTACGCTATCCTGAAAATATTTCTTGGATGAGATTCCACAGGGACCTGTTATCTATACCATTGTTTCTGTTTTAACCTGGGAATAAGAAAAACTTGCTGAGTAGTCAGTACTGAGAGAAAGGATAGCTCCCTCAGTGTAAACCCCCTTTCCTGGGCAAGGCCTCTGGCCATGGTGCTGACATACATTTCAAGTGAAGCTCACCCATTAGCATACCAAAGGGAAGTGGCAAATGAGGGTGAGGATTAAGGGAACAAAATACTAGAACTAAGAGACAAAAATTGCAGTGGTACTAGTTCTACATTATAAAAGAAATGCAAGATGGTAAAACAAAAAACAAAAAACAAAACAAAAAACAAAAAACACCTAAAAAACAAAAGGATAGTGATCACATTCATTTCTACCATCTGCCCCCAAATTCAGTAATACAGAATCAGCAAAAAAGGACCACAAACCTAAGGGTTAGCCACCTTCCTGCTACATGGTTACCATTTTTGCAGTCACCCAGAATTATGCTTCACCAGTAATCCTTTTCATCTAATTGCTTTATACACCTTCTTGGATTCACAGAATGCAATATTCTGTGAAGGACTGAAAGACAGGTGTCAGCACTATATCACCTGGGCTAGGTAGTCATCTTAGGAAAAGAAAGGGAGCAGAGACAGAAATAAAAGTTGTGGCAAAGTAAAGATATTTAAATATTATGAAAGACTGCATTTGAATCTTTAAAGCAGTCAGAAAAACATACTGTTGTAACAAGATAATCAATTCAGGTGAAAAGTGAAAGTCTGTGAGGCACACTGTAACGTGGATTCAGAGGTCAAAGATGCAGAGCTCTGCTCCACACCAGGCCTAGGTAAGGAAAGGGACAATGTGGGAGTACCAAATATAAAGGGTTCCTAAAGAATAGAATCTTATAAGAGTATCAAAAAAACTTATCTGGGGGGCACCTGGGTGGCTCACTTGTTAAGCATCTGCCTTCAGCTCAGGTCATGATCCCAGGGTCCTGGGATCAAGCCCCACATCAGGCTCTCTGCTCAGTGGGAAGCCTGCTTCTTCCTCTCCCAATCCCCCTGCTTGTGTTCCCTCTCTCGCTCACTGTATCTCTGTCAAATAATAAAAAAAATCTTAAAAAAAAAAAAAAAAAAAACTTATCTGGGCTAAAAACATCTCAGTCCCAGACAAGATTAATCTGAGAAGAGGAGAAGGAAAAACCCACACCTAATTATATCATAGAACAATATCTGAATTTTAAGGATTAAGATAACCATTTTACACACAATTCTGTATATTATACAACGAAAAATAATATAAAATTGTCAATCAGAACAAAACAGAAAAGGTAAAACAAAGTAATACACAAAGTTTGAACTCCTTCTATAAAAACAACTTTAGTTTGCATAATGTTTGAAAGGGTATAAACCAAATAATTACTCTGTAGTATTAGGAAGTAGAATGGGCATATATATAAGGCAAACTTGTACCTTTTAACATGTATTCTTATGCCCTGATTAACTTTTAGTAACCTCTACACCCAATGTGAGGCTTGAAACCACACAACCCCAAGATCAGCAGTTGCATGCTCTTCTGACTGAGCCAGTAAGGTGTTCCCTCGTTCAGTGAACTTTTAATTTTAAAAAATGAGAAGTGCCAAATTAATAGTGCTTAGATTAGCAGATTATATTTTATAATCAAACAAGAATCAACTTTCAGTTTTGTAAGATAAGTAAATTTTGGAGTATAGTAACCGTAAAAATGTGACTATGGTTTAATACAGTACTGTACACTTGAAATTTGCTTAGAAGACAGCTCGTAAGTATTCTCACCTCTTCCCACAAAGGAAATTAAAAAAGAGAAAAAAAGAAGAGAAAGAAAATGGTAACTACTGAGGTGATGGGTGTCTTGAATAGCTTCACTGTGGTATTTCTTGATGTATATGCATTATGCATATCATAACATCAAGCTGTCTACCTGAAACATATATAATTTATTGTCAATTTATTGTCAATTTATTTTGTCAATTGTATCTCAACAAAGCTGGGAAAAATTAAAAAATTATTTAAGAACAAAATAAATGCAAAATCCTTTAAATTTTTTTTGGTTGAATTTTTTTTTAAATTTTTATTTATTTTTTAAATTCCTTTTCAGCATTCCAGAATTGTTTCACTTTTAATTTGGTATTGATATTTAAGATCAAAATCACGACTGCTTTGCAAATCAGTATTTGTATATCCTTTGGGTAAATACCCAGTAGTGCAATTGCTGGATAGTAGGGTACTTCCATTTCTAACTTTTTGAGTAACCTCCATACTGTTTTCCACAGTGGCTGTACCAGTTTCAATTCCCACCAACAGTATGAAAGGGTTCCCCTTTTTCCATGTCCTTACCAACATTTGTTGCTTCCTAGGTTAATGTTAGCCATTCTGACAGGTGTGATGTGGTATCTCATTGTCGTTGTGATTTGTATTTCCCTGATAAGTGATGTTGAGCACCTTTTCATGTATCCATTAGCCATCTGTATGTCTTCTTTGGAAAAATGTCTATTCATGTCTTCTGCCCATTTTTAAACTGGATTATTTGTTTTTCTGGGTATGGAGTTTGATAAGTTCTTTATATATTTTGGATAGTAAGACTTTATTTAGCAGATATGTCATTTGCAAATATCTTCTCCCATTCTGAAGGTTGCCTTTTAGTTTTGTTGACCGTTTCCTTTGCTGTGCAGAACGTTTTTATCTTGATGAAGTCCCAATAGTTAATTTTTGCTTTTGTTTCCCTTGCCTCAGGAGATTTATCTAGTAAGAAGTTGCTATGGTCAAGGTCAAAAGGGTTGCTGCTTGTGTTCTCTTCTAGGACTTTCATGTTTTCCTGTCTCACATTTAGGTCTTTCAGCCATTTTGAATTTATTTTTGTGTAGCAATTACTAACAGTAGCCAAATTATGGAAAGAGCCCAAATGTCTATCAGTAGATAAATGGATAAAGAAGTTGTGGTGTGTATATAAAATGGAATATTATTTAGCCATAAAAAAGAATGAAATATTGCCAGTTTCAACGGCATGAATGAAACTAGAGATATTATGCTAAGCAAAATAAAGTCAGCCAGAGAAAGACAAATATTATTTCACTTATGTGGAATTTAAACAAAGTAGAAGAAAATAGGAGGGAAAAAAAGAGAGGCAAACCAGGAAACAGACTCTTTTTGTTTGTTTTTAAGATTTTATTTGAGAAAGAGAAAGAGTAGGAGGGAGAGGGAGAGAGAGAACATGAGAGAGAGGCATCGACCTCATGACTGCAAGATCATAACTTAAGCCAAAACCAAGAGTTGGACACTTGAATGACTGAGGCACCTAGGTGCCCCTAGACTCTTAACTATAGAGAACAAACTTAAGATTGCTGTAGGGGAGGTGGGTAGGGGTTGGGTTATATGGGTTGTGGGTATTAAGGAAGGCACTTTTTGTGATGAGAACTGTGTGTTATATGTTAGTGATGAACTGCTGAATACTACACCTAAAACTATTATTACATTGTATATTAACTAAATGGAATTTAAATAAAAACTTGAAACTACAATAATAAAATAATTACTGCTCTGACATAAAAAAATTTTTTAAGAGTCAGTGAATATACATTTTGCAACTTTAATTATCCGAAGATCTAATCATCCTCATCAGTATTTAATATCATAGACCAGGTTTTCCCAATTCTTTCAAAACCAAGGATTCTACACTATTTTCTACTTTCAGAAGACCCATATTTTTGGAAGATTCTACCATGTGGGATTTATTCTGCAACACTGTTTTTCAATTGTGTTATTAAACACAGTCCCATACATATATTCTCTCCTTTCTCTCTGCCAACTGAAAACTCTTGACAATGTAAGATAAACTTATGCTAGTATGTTGAGTTGATAGGACAATGGTCTACCTAAGTTAGGCTACTCAATGTAAGTGTAGATAAAATTACAGAGTCCACAAGGTTTAGTAAACCTTTATATCAACATGTGAGTGTGCGTGGGTAGCTAAGAACCTGAGAGCTCCAGAGATGATAAGATGAGATTCACCAATATATACATTACAACTTAAAAGACCCAATGAAATAAAAGCTGAAATTGTATGAGAATCAGGGGTGGAGGGAAAATCCATACTGGATAATTAGTTAGGTATGAACCACTAAGCTAAAAAACCTGCTAAACTAATAAATAATGAAAATAATATTTTTATAATATTCTAAATATTAATAGAATAATCTAAAATTGTAAGACAGAACAAAAAATCTCATTAAAGTTCTTTTGAGAGAAAAAATTTAGGATATGACAAATGTCTTTTAAAGAAAATAACACATACAAAGTATATAATTTGTATTAATACAGTTTTATGCTACAATAACATGAGAAACTTTCTGCTAATTTACAAATTTGTTTAAATTTGTAGATTTTTATAAGCTTTCAATGGTACAGTAGGCACAAAAATTATTTAAACATTATTGCCTCTGTTCCAAGTTACCTGAACATTCTCATTCCACCTCTCAGTGAAGATCTTGTCTGGAAATTCTGCAGGTAGAGATAATTGTTCTTTAAATATTTTAAGATACTGTGGAAATCCAAATGAATTCATTAAATGTATTTGCCGGTGAGAAAATCGTGACTTCACTCTTTTTTCTAAGAGTTCCAAAATATCCTTAAAAACAAATAAAAATCCATATAAAGTGCATGTTAAAAAAAAACAACAACATACAAACATTAGAGGTATACATATTTGAACTATCACTATAATTAACAATGCTTCACCTGTAATACACAATTAAGCATTTTATTCAAGCCTCCAAAAACTCCAATCACTGCCTTCATTTCCTTACAGTTTATGTAAGCCACTTTTAATAATCCCCTTCTAAGCATCTGTAGGTCTGGTGATGTCATGTCTTTTTCTACTAGGCTATTCTCAGTTAAGCTTTAACATTTCAAGACCAATAATAATGGCAAAAAAAATGTGACTATTATTGAATAGTTCTCTGCCACAATAACACTAAGAATTTCAATAAAGAATTTCATATATTCTATGAAAAATTCCTATTAAAAATAGTAAAATGTAGTAAATCTATTAATTGCTGAAAATGTAAACACTGTTTTATATAACAAAGACTCAGGAAGTAGCAAATGTAATGGAGAAGAATTGTTTACTACCTATAAATTCAAACTGAAGCCATGCTGAACTGATGGAACAAACTATCGGAGAGGAAACTTGCACGAACACAGTATGACACTGTTAAGTTATTCTGTCTTTTGACTTTTTTACAGTGTTATTTTAGAAACTACTTGCATTTGTGCTATTTTTCCTTAAGAAGTTAGATATCAACTTTTTTATTGTCAATTTTCTGTAAGAAAAAATGTAAAAAAAAAAAAACAAAAAAAACTGTGGTAAGGCCCTAAAATATGGATTTTTAAATCTACCTGGATGATTTTCATCATAGCTAGGTTAAGAAACCAATCATATAGAGGAAAGAATTCAACTGATCAAAACGGGATCGTGGTTAGTCTGGAAAAGAAGACAGGAAAGATTCATAGCTTATGGTTGGCAGAGAGAAAGTGAATGAAAAACCTGGAATGTTTTTATAGGTCAAAGAAAAATACAGTGCCAGCATAATTAACAGAGAGTGAAGTTTTATGTTCAGAAACAGCTATATTATAAATTTTCTATTAATGAGGAGCTCTAGATCATCCATGTACAGGTGGCTGAAAAGCAGTGTAAACAACACTCTATGCCAGCAATAATTAAGAGCTTGAACTTGGGAATGGAAAGAAGGTGGAGGTAAAAGGTACTTTAGTTGTGGACAGTAATGACTGAAGTTTGCAATGTGAAAATAAGGGAATAGTAAAAAAAAACCAACTACTTTCACAGAGAAGAGGTTGTTTGCTAGCCAAGTCACTAATCCAACTGTCCTTTCAAACACAGACATACAGATAGACCTGAACTGCACAGCTGGGAGAATTATACTATAGAATTTTTAAAGGCCTATGTAACACTGCTAAAGAGCACCTGATTCTTTATTTGGTCCTTCAATGGGTCAGTAACGTTTGCCACTGCTACTTCCATCCAAAGGTTTGGTTTTTTTTTTTTAGCAAGAAGAAAGATGCTTCCTTAACTCCTGTGGTATAACTGCTGCCTTGACAAGAAGGAATAAAGATAAAACAAAGAGGCAGATGTTTTATGGGGAGGCTTATTATGAAGGCATATATTATAAACTCAAGAGCACTGGGGAAAGAGGACAGAGAAAAACACTCCACAGAAAAACAACACTGAAAGGAAGGCTGTTGAAAGATGACTTAGTAAATTATTTTACTTTTCTAAAAAGGAAACTGCTGCAAGAAAGGAAAAGAAATAAATGGGCCTGACCACAAGCCTGCCAAGAATGAAGGAGGGAAAAGAAGAATGAAAACAGACTCATGGCAGCCATCTATGAGAAGAGAGATGACTCTTAAATACCAGTTTTACCTGAATTCAGTAAGAAAGTTTATGATGTAAAAGAAGATTAAAAAAAAAAAAGGCCTGTGTAGCTATCTGAAGTATATAAGGTTCACGATGTAGAGAGTCTTCATAAAGTAATGTGATAGTGACACTGAGACTATGGTTAAAATCATTCTAAAATCACCCCCAAGAAGCAAAGAAGCCACTATCTACTGTTGACAGATTGAGAGAAGTAATCCCTTCCATTTCTGGAGATGACTACTTACAAAAATGGGATACTATCATTTTTACTCGATTCTAAGCATTTTCAAAATATAGGAACAATCTTAAATATAGAAGTAAAAACAATGGATGATTTTTATAAAATAGTGATAGGATTTTCTCTCTACTTGCTAATGTAGAAATTACACTAGCATAATCTGACTTCACATTTTTTATTCAGTGATTTAACTGGAGGGAGAGAGGTATTAGTTCATGAGCATGTGTCATAAATGTTATGTTTTCTTCAATCTGAGTTGAAAAGTAGGATAAATGCACCAGGCACTACTAAAACACATCTGAAAAAATGCCTGATATAATGACCTACATAAGTGATGATATCAGTAAGCTTTAATTTTCTAAATATAATCAATTTTTTAATAGAAAAACTTACCAATCTACATGTAAGACCAATTACTGCTAGTGGAGTCTGTGCAGACTGTGAAATGTCAAACAGATTATAGAGGAGTGTCTGGTTTTTATGATGAGCAAAAAGATCAAATTCATCTAATATGAAGATCACTGGGCAACTACTAGACCGGTCACCTAAGATAAAATAGGAGTTTTATATATTAATAAGCAACTACATCAATCTTCCTTAAGTTTCCAAATTATTTACTGTACTTTAGTGGTTAAAACTCAATTCAACAAACATATATTGAAAACCTAGTTTGCGCAGGATACTTACCAATGCTTACACATTTATTCAACAACAAAACCTTATTCAGAGGACAAGACAGCCCTTACTCCCGTCAAGTAGTTCACAGTCTAATTACAAGACTTTAGTAGTTTACTAATGAAAAATTAAGAACATTATTTAAATAACTAGACTGTTGTTTTTAAAATTATGCAAATATCTTCTATCATCAAAAAATTGACAGGGACCTCTCTTAACACCCACAGAAACCAAAATACTTTGGGATTAATAATAAAGGGAGTCACTAACTTATGAACAAAACTTTTGCTTCAAAAGAGATTTGTTTAGTCAGCTGAAATGCAAACTGAATCTTCCCAAGTATTTATAATTTTTACAAATAATCGTTAAACCACAAAATTTGACCAAAGCCTCTTTTAACTCCTAACCACAATTTTTTAAAGCACCCCCCAACCAAGTTTTAATATTTCAGGAACAAGGGAAAGTTCAACATGACTCTGTGAATTCATTTTTCTCATTACAATGAGGGAAACCATGAGGGCAGAAGAATCACTATTACCTTAAGGTAATCACTGTTACCTTATGGGGAGCCACAGGCAGAGGGAGAAGCAGGTTTCCTGCTGAGTAGGGAGACTGATACAGTGCTCAAATCCAGGACCCTGAGATTATGACCTGAGCCAAAGGCAGCAAAAATAACCGACTGAGCTACCCAGGTGACCCTATAATCATTCTTTTAAATCTGGCACTGTTTAATCTGGAACTCTACGCATTAAAATTTACCCTAGGAAATAACTAAATGATCATCTAAGCATTTCTTCCTAATTATATACAAAGTTAGAAATCAAAGTTCAATAACTGGTAATTAATAACATAATTTATCATATTTTAAGTATAGTTAATTTATAAAATAGAATATGAGAACCATAAAAATGATGATGTAGCTCACTATTTACTGACATAAGTGAACAAGATATATATTATACAATATGGAAAATCATTCTATCCTTATAAAAAATTATGTCCATCTGCATCATTGATACACTACAGGTGAATAAAGATATGAAACCAAATGTTAATTGGGATAATCATGGGGTGGCTGGGTGCGCAGTCAGTTAAGTGTCCGACTCTTCATCTCAACTAGGTCTTGATTTCAGGGCCATGAGTTCAAGCCCCACTTTGGGCTCCATGTTGGGTGCAGTGACTTCTTAAAAAATAGTAATGATTGGGATAGTCACTATAATAGTTGTGGGATTACAGTGATCATTATATTATGACTTTTTACATTATCTTTTTTTTGTAAAAATATGTAATGCCTTTATAATCAGGGGAAAAATAAAGCTAAAAGATAACTTTTGATGTTATTAAATATGCTAATATTTACCTTTTTTTAAAGCTTCCAGAAGAAATGAAAGGTTTTCAGCAAAACTTCCCTAAAAAAAAACAAAAAAAGACACCATAACTAAAAGTTTAACAAAATAAAGAATAAAAGAGAACTGATTCTTGGGCATTACATAGACACTATGTATCTATTGTTTCCTAAATTAGTCAGTGGCCAGATTCTGAGCTGGAGACTTCCATGTGCACCATTAAAGACTTAAATATAAAAGGAGAGGTGGCATAGTACTGAAAATGGCATTACCCTGCCATACTCAAAATTCTGTATTTTCTGGATAAAATGCATAAAAATGTTAGCTTCAATTTAAAGGTAGTTTTTAAGACTTGTTGTATTCCAAATACTGTCTGAGAACTAGAAATCACTGCACTTCGTATTTTCAAACAGATTAAGCTCTTCCAAGTTTCAGATTAATTTGGACCACTAAAAAAATGACCACATGATTCCAGTTGTATATGGAATTTAAGAAAAAAAAACAACAACAGATGAATGCAGGGGAAGGGAAAAAGAGGGGGAAGCAAATCATGAGACACTTAACAACAGGGAACAAACTGAGGATTCATGGAGCGAGGGTGGGGAGGGGATGGGTTAAATGGGTGATGGGTATTAAGGAGCACTGGGTATTTTATGTAAGTGAAGAATTACTAAATTCTACTCCTGAAACCAGTATTACACTATATGTTAACTAACTAAATTTAAATACAAACAAATTAAAAAAGCATACTACTAAAAAAAATGAGCACAAATTTAAATGAGATCCAAAAGGAAAGGGAAGAAGAAATTTGCCTTAATCATTACATACTATAATAGTTTCTCCCTATTCAAGAGCATATTATAGAATTTGTATATATCAGATCAAATTTGACTATGTTTACTTGGAACACAGCCAAAACATTTTCGGATACAACTTATACATTCTACATGGAAATTAACAGAGAAGCAGATGCATTATCCAGATGTTCCAACTTGCAGATAAGGGCCCTGTTGAAATTTTTTTTTTCATTTAAGTCATTAATTTTTACTTCATTCAGATTTTTTAATTTTAAGAAATAGCCAACCTTAAATTTGTGAAGATGTACAGGAGAAAAAAAAAAAATCCGCTTGTTTGTTTCTCCACTGAGAGAACTGATATAAAATAGCTGAACAGGTTTTTAAGAACTTCTACTTATTTTATAATAACTGTATGTTGTCAAATCAATATTATTTCCAAGGCAGTTAGGGCAAGAGGTATTTATATAAAATAAACAAAAGCTCAGAGGCAATCTGTGGGTGAGTAATCAGCAGTTGAAGTTATTCAAAGGTAGCTTGTCTCATGCTTTTTTTAAAAAAGACAGTTACATCTGACATTACATGTGAGTGTGCAATTATATAAGTACATACGCACATATTATAAGAATATCCTTATATAAAAACACATACGTATGCATAAGAATATACAAATTTGCTGTAAGTATATCAAAACATAAAGGCTCTGGGTCAAGTAACTCAGGTTCTTAATGTCTTAATATCCATTTTATGACCTTAGGGCAAGCTAATTATGCTCTCTGAGCCTCAGGTGACTTACCTATATAATGTAAAAGTTAAACTAATAATCACTATATGTGATGATTACGGTAACAACAGTAATGACTAGGATGATAAACAACTGTCCCTTTTATTATTTTCTATGAATCCAATAAGAACAGGTTCAATTAGGAAAGTCAGAAACCTCAGTCTACATCAGCGGCAAACCAAAAGTCAAACTGAGCCTATATAATAGTAAATCTCCTTGACCAAGTAGGCCACTGTATTCAACATTACATTCTGCACAGGAGGAAGAACTTCAGACTTACAGAGGGGCATTTTGAACCTGCAGACAGTGTGAAAGGGTAACACATGATTGGCTTACCTTTTTACAGGTACTTATTAAAGAATGAAATTACTAAATGCTAAGAGGCTTACACAACAATGGCTGTGTTGTTGCAGGAAAAAGGAGACACTTTAAGAGTGATAACACTGTATGATCACCAGTGAGCGTAAAATGAATTTGGGATGCCACAATCCACTTCAACTGAATAAGCAGTATGAAGTTAAGTCATTTCATTATGAAAATTAAAGTAGCTGTAAATTAATTTAATCATGTTAATTTTCAACCTTATAAATCAAGTGATAGGGTAAAAAGTTTAATGAAAGTTCCAGAACATTTCTAATCAGTTTCATTTAAAGTTACTGATGTTCACTATCTTGAGGTTCTAAGCTGTTACAATGATGAGATATGAATTAAGTTTCTGAAAACGTTTTAGTAAGAGATAATTGACATTTGTATAGAACATTACCAATCCAGCATTTTTAAAATATAAATTATGTTTAATGCTTGTCTTTAGAATAAATCTGTGAAGTAATAAAGATAATGCACATTTAACACAGATGAGAAAATTTGAACTTCAGAAATATCATTAGCCATGATTATCAAGTAGTCAATGGTTTTAAGACAAGACTCAAATCTACCTTTTTTAGCTTTAAATTCAGTACATTTTGCATTAGTGCCAGTTAATACTTCTAAGTCTCTTCTGAGACTTAGAAGTATTAGTCCCAGCTAGTACTTCTAAGTCTCAGAAGACTAAAAATAGGGTGCTAGAGTGTGGTACTTCAAAAAATACTTTAAACTATCTCCAAAGATAGGGAATCAAAGTATTTATCTTACAGATAAAGAAACTCCGATAATATCTACATAAACATGGATTTCTTGGCTCTTTTATAGTTAGTATAATCTACTTCAAAAAAATTTAAACATAAAGGTATGATAAATAAATGCATCCTACTACATTATACTTTTTTATGATAAGAATCTTTCATATTTCAATTTAGAAACCCTGAACCCACCCGAGCCTTCCAAAAATACGAAAATATCTACGGCATATAAATGTTAAAGACTATTAGGATACTTACAAAAACTTTATCTCCAACTACATTTTCCAAATTTAACTGCCTTGTGATTTCCTTTAGGGCAATTTTATCATTGATTTGCAGCAGTCCTGAAATAAAGCCCATTTAAAAGTATTTAACTAAGATGAGATATTTGAAACAGTGCAGATTATTTTCCAGTCAAGTTAAGCTTTCTTAATAATTTCTTACTTTAACTAGAAAGAAAAAAGTCAAATATCTGTGAGTTAACATTAATTTCTTTTTGAAACTCAGCAATGAAGACATTTGCTAGACTCAAAGAACTATCATCCTTGGGGTTCTTTTATTTTTTTTTTAAAGAAAAGAAAAAACAAAAAACAAGAGTCCTTATGTGCCTCTTTAATCTTATTTCTTTTTTTAATTTCTCAAAATATTGTGTATGGTATATTAAAGTGAAAGTTGTTAAACATGGATCAAGTTCTTAAATTATGACTATTACCCACCTTTAAAACACGCAAGTAAATTAAATTTTACATTATAAAAAGCTCACATATTTTATATCATTTCCAATGGTAAAACGATGACATACTTACCATTTAGGTGAACTTGTAATACATTTTCACTCACTTCTTCTACTTCCATTAGTTCTTTCAAAGCATGGTTTATTAACTAAATGGTATTAAAAAGTTTATGGAATATTTAATAATAAATAAAAATATAAGCTCATATTCTTTTAAAAATTATGAATGGGAACATAATATAATAAAAAGATTGTCATTTGAAACTAACAAATAAGTTTGCACATTACTCAAAGATAAAAGAAAGGTTTAACGAGAACATCTAATGTCCGACTCAAGATGCCAAAAACAGGACTGATGTCATACTCTTTCAATCATCTTCCCAAACTAATAAATGTTTAGAAACAACCCTCAAGTTTTCAAAGACATATTTCTCTATAAGTCACATAAAACTATAGCCACTTAAGAGCTTCATGTCTGAGTTAGTTCATTATTTATCTCTTAACATTTATTCTACTAAATACTATTGAAATCACTTAAAAGCTATTGAAAACATGTATTAGAGCAATGTTAAATGATTGTAAAAAGTCTACCATGGTCAATATACCAATTTCTATGAAATACTGTTAACTAATCTGTATGCTATCATGAAATAAAAATTTGAAAAACTAAGAAATACCAAGAGGTAAGTTGAAAAAGATGTTTCCTCTATGAGTTTCTAGGTAAAACAGCCACTCCTTATCTGCAGTTTCAATTACCTGTGCTGTGGAAACAGATGAATCCTCCTTTTGACATTATGGGCAGAAGGTCAAAGTAGCTTAATGTACATAATAATGTCTACATCATTCACCTAACTTCATCTTATCATGTAGGCATTTTATCATTTCACATCATCACAAGAAGGATGAATATAGTACAGTATGATATTTTGAGAGACAGAGACCACACTCACCTAACTTATACTATATTTGTTGTAACCATTCTATTTTATTATGTTATTATTTTTAATCTCTTACTGCGTTCTAATTCATGTATTAAAGTATACTACAGGTAAAGTTTACCATGTTAAAAAAAAAACAGTACATATAGGGTTTGGTACTATCTGTGGTTTCAGGCATTCACTGAGGTCTTGGAATGTACGTCCCATGGGTGGGGGGGCCTACTGCATATAGAGAAAGACCTTATTAAGGAAATGTAGAGGGGCGCCTGGGTGGCTCAGTGGGTTAAGCCTCTGCCTTTAGCTCAGGTCATGATCCCAGGGTCTTGGGATCAAGCCCCACATCAGGCTTTCTGCTCGGCGGGGAGCCTGCTTCCCCCTCCCCCGCCCACCGCCTCTCTGCCTGCCTCTCTGCCTACTTGTGATCTTGCTCTCTCTCTGTCAGATAAATAAATAAAATCTTAAAAAAAAAAAAAAAGGGTGCCTGGGTGGCTCAGTTGGTTAAGCGACTGCCTTCAGCTCAGGTCATGATCCTGGATTCCCAGGATCGAGTCCCACATCGGGCTCCCAGCTCCATAGGGAGTCTGCTTCTCCCTCTGACCTTCTCCTCACTCATACTCTCTCACTGTCTCTCTCTCTCAAATAAATAAATAAAATATTAAAAAAAAAAAAAAAGAGGAAATTAGGACACAGACACAGAGGGAAGACTGCCACATGAAGATGGAGGCAGAGGTTGGAGTTAAGCTGCCACAATCCAAGGAATGCCCGCCAAGGATTGTGGCAGCTTTAAAAAAAAAAAAAAAAAAAGAAATGTAGAGCTTGCAATGAAAAAAAATTACTACTGATAATATAGTAACTACTAAAAATATACTCACAAGGTGTTATACCACCTTAAATTGTTCAATTATAAAGTTTTAGATATTTATAACTATAGATTCTTATGCCACATACTTCCTACTCTCTATTTTTTTGACTTATGACATCTTATTACAACTCTATGGCAATATAATATACATCTCTTCACATTAATATTATGCACAGTTTTATAAAAACTTAAAAATGAACAGAACTAAGAAAAGTCAAAAAACTTTTAAAAAGAAGAACAATGATAAAGGACTACTAATACTAAAACTACTCCTATGATTAGAAAATAAATAATTCCTCAAAACAGGCTGTGTATACAAAAAAAATTAGTAAAGATGGCATCAAAATTTAGTGAGGACAAAAAGGAAATTCAAAAAAGTCCCTGGAACAATGGCAAACCATTTTGAAAAACAAAATACTATTTGTATTTGAAATATTGTACTTCGATTTGTCACTACCACATCTTTGTGAAATATGAAGAAGTATTTTAAATTATTAGGTTTCACAACAGGTATCAAACATAATTCTGATATATTTGTATTTTTGTTTGTTTGTTTTTTTTGTTTTGTTTTGTTTTTAGATTTTATTTATTTGTTTGACAGAGATGGAGAAAGCACAAGCAGGAAGAGTGGCAGGCAGAGGGAGAGGAGAAACAGGCTCTCCACTGAGCAGGGAGCCCAATGCGGGGCTCGATCCCAGGACTCTGGGATCATGACCGGAGCTGAAGGCAGATGCTTAATGACTGAGCCATCCAGGCACCCCTAATCTGTATTGTTTTTAAAACAAATGGAATTCTGGGGTGCCTGGATGATTCAGCTAGTTAAGCATCTGACTCTTGATTTCAGCTCATGTTATGATCTCAGAGGGGTAAGATCCAGCCCTGTGTCTGGCTCCTTCCTGAACATAGAGCCTGCTTAAGATTCTAACTCTCTCTAGCTCTGCTTCTGCCCCTCCCCCAATGCTTGCTCTCATGTGCATGTAAGCTCTCAAAATAAATAACTAAACTAAAAAAATGGAATTCTACCTTAGATCATAGCAATCTAAGTCCTCTTAAAAAGGGAAATCTCAAAATATCAACTGTCACACTATGTAATAAAATCCAATTAAGAAGTGACATTCTTTGTAGAGAACTATCCAAAAATAAAGAGGTACTTCTTGGCTTTTAGAGCAAGTATGAGTCTATCATAAGACTTCATTCCCAGATGATACAAATGTGGTATGTCAAAATGTGGCCCCTGCCATAGCTTCTTGGTAATCTGCAATGTTCTTCCTCCCACCAAATGGTATCTTATTTACATAATATTTCTATTTCTCTGGGTCTGATTGTATGTTCTAAATTATTATATGTTCAGTAAACCGTTGAAAACTATTTTAAATTCTTTGCATAATGAAATGGGGAAAATAATAATACCTTCATTTTTTTTATATACACATAAAGAGAGTTATTATAACATGGAAGGAGGATGGCAGCAAAGAATGAGGATCCTAAGGTTGCCTCCTCCCACAAATACAAGTAGATCCCAGTCAAATCATCCTAAATACCCCAGAAACCAACCTGAAGACAGGCAGAAAAAACTCCACAACTAAGTGTAGAGAAGAGGACAGAGGACACATCAAAGGTGGTAGGAAACGCGGAGACGTGGCTTAGGAGAGAAATGGATCATAGCCAACGCAGTGGGGAGGAAGTCAGTCTCAGAGAAGTGGGAAAAAGAGACTAACATACAGGGGAACACACAGGAAATGAATCCTCATAGGACTGGTCTGGAAAGCTAGAGGGCCTAAATTTCTTGAGTTCTTACAACCAGGGAGGCTTAAAGCCTGGGGTTCTAAAGATCAGCATGTGTGGTTCTGGGAGAGCTCAAAGGACACTGGGGATGCTCTTGGAGAGAAGGCAGGGAAAATTGTCTGTGGACATACAGCAATCTGAAGAGCACCCAATAAAACAGATAAATGAAACCAGGAGCTAGTTCTTTGGGGGAAAAAAAATGGGGGGGGGGGGTTTATGGAGAGGGTGGTTGGGTTATGGACACTGGGGAGGGTATGTGATATGGTGAGTGCTATGAAATGTGTAAGCCTGACTATTCACAGACCTGTACCCCTGGGGCAAATAATGCATTATATTTTAATAAAAATAATAAAAAAATAAATAAAACTGATAAACCTCTAGCCAGACTTACCAAGAAAAAAAACAGAAAAGACCCAAATAAACAAAATCACAAATGAGAAAGGAGAAATAACAAACACTAAAAACTACAAGCAATTATAGAAAAATACTACAAAAAACTACATCCCAACACTGGACAACCTAGAATATGGATAAATTCTTAGTAACATATAATCTATAAAAACTGAAACAGGAAGAAATACAAAATTTGAGAAGTCCAATCACCAGCAAAAAACTGAATCTAATCAAAAAACTCTCAAGAAACAAAAAGTCCAGGTCAAGATGGCTTCTTAGGTGAATTCTACGCAACATTTAAAGAATAGTTAATACCTATGCTTCCCAAAATATTCCAAAAATAGAAAAGGAAGTAAAACTTCAAATTCATTCTATGAGAGCAGCACTACCCTGATACCAAAACCAGAAAGACACCACAGAAAAAGAGAACTACAGGCCAAGATCTCTGATGAACCTATAATTGCAAAAAACCTCAATAAAATACTAGCAAACTGAATCCAACAATACATTAAAAGAACCATTCGCCACGATCAAGTGGGATTTATTCCTGGGTTGCAAAGGTAGTTCGATACTTGCAAATCAATCAATGTGATACAACACATCAATAAGAGAAAGAGTAAGAACCATATGGTCATGTCAGTAGATGCAGAAAAATCATCTGACAAAGCACAACATCCATTCAGGATAAAAACCCTCAACAAAGTAGATTTAGAGGGACTATACCTGAATATAATAAAGACCAACAGCTAATACCACCCTCAATGGGGGAAAAACTGAAAGCCTTTCCCCTAAGGTGAGGATAAAGATAAGGATGTCCACTCTCACCACTTTTTTTTTTTTTTAAAGGTTTTCCCATTTATTTGACAGAGAGTGAGAGAGAACACAAGCAGGGGGAGCAGCAGAGTGAGAGGGAAAGGCAGGCTTCCCACTCAGCGAGGAGCCCTATGTGGGGCTCCATCCCAAGACCCTGGGATCGTGACCTGAGCAGAAGGCAGATGCTTAACTGACACACCCACCTCCCCTCAACCCACTTTTATTCAACATAATACTGGAAGTCCTAGCCACAGCAATCAGAAAACTAAAAGAAATAAAAGGCATCCAAATAGGTGAGGAAGCAGTAAAACTTTTCACTTTTTGCAGATGACATGATACTATATATAAAAAACCCAAA